TATTGTTGTTTTGTTTTCCCGGTCTTACTTACAGAATCTGGACCGGTATCCATAGCAAATGGTCCCAGATAGAATGTACAGACCAATCAGCTAATCAGAATTCAGTAAATTTAGTAAATAGAGGATATTACATGGCCGCGCAGAGATACGGAGTTTATTTTTGAGTGATGAAAATATTTTAAAGAGATTCTCAACATGAGAAGATAAAATTCATGTCCCCAAGAGAACATGTAATATTCTATTTATCATATAATTGTACATAAAAGCAAATTATATCGTAAAATACCTTTCTTCTTACTTCCACTATATAGAAAACATTTGGATCACCTTGATTGTCTTCTTGATTTAATTTAATTTGCACTTCGTATTCGTTACCTTCATTATCGAGCCGCTGTCTACTTMTCTTTCATTTGTTTCTTTTTGATGCCTTCTTATTGGTGAATGGCTTATTTTCACTGTTGGAAACTTTAATATTGCTTGTTTTAATTTATACAATATGTCAACGTCACCTCTCTCTTCATTCTCCGATTGATCTAATGTTCTTCAATAAAATGGTTTTCTTCATTAGCATTAAAATAAGATTCCATTTCAATTAATAGAGGCCAAGCTCAATAATTTTTCTGCTAGAAAAGTCATCACAACTTTTTTTCAATCGATTTATTGATTGATAACCAATTAATAGGTATTGTACAATAAGTAACATCAAGATATTTGTATGTAAAATAGTAAATTAGGGGTGTTGAATGACTACTCATAGATTGAAGACAGCTCCAATATCCTTGGAGGGGGGGGGGGGGGGGGGGGTACTCGAACCCGTTTTGGATAGGTACGTGCCGCCAGCGGTCTAAATCCCTGACCCTGTTTAAGACACTAAAAAGTGAAAATCCATACCCTGTTCAAGACAAATTGAAAAAATAAGCAATAGCTATCTGCGCCGCAACCATCAAAAGTGCAATTATACTGAMATCCATCAAAGACAATAAGAAATTTTTGATAACACGTTAATCCTGGGACAGTGAAACGGTATTTCTACGGTGTTATGAAAATATTACCCTGTCTAGGACACAAAAAAAATATAACGGTCTTTTATCTAAATATCCAATACCCAATTGATCTGTCTTTCTTCGATTACTGAATCGGTTTCCTTTAAAGGCTTATATATTTGGACCCACTTATATGCTATACGAATGAATGTCATGTTAGTAAAATTCAATAAAAGTAAAACATTAGAGGAGCACAATGCAAGAAAATAACGAGAACTGGTGGTATTCTAGCCCATTTCATTGTGAATTTCTAGCGCATATTCAGCACTTATAGCTGAGGGAACAATGTTAAGTGTATCTTTGATTTCTTCCATTGTTAATGATAAACACTTCTGGTTTTCTTAAGTCCGACAACTCCACTCTCTCATCACCTTTTCGAGTGTTCTTATTTAAGGAATATATCTTTCTACGGCAACAGCAGAAAATATTACTAATATAACTTTTCATCTCGACACGAAAACGCTTGGATATCACTCCATAAACAACAGGGTTGCAACAGCTATGGAGCGTCGCCAACTCATTTGAAAAYAAAAATACTACTTCGCTAAATGATTTTTCTTGGAATACAATGCTACTAAGCCAAGCGATTTGGAATGGTAAAGTCGTTATGTTGTATAATATAATAATCGCTACAGATATACGAATAACTTCCATGGTCTGCTTTCGTTTTCGGGCAATTTGTAGTTGGTTACCGCTGGAGTCGTGTGGAAACGTGTGTCTTCTGAGATAAAGGACTATCTTGACGTAGCAAAAGGCAATGGCAAACAAAGGAAGAAGATACTGTGCAATGAAAAGAGCGACTGTATAAGCTTTGTTGATCGTTTGGGAAGGCCAGTCTTCATAACAAACATAACCAATTTGGACATAGTTGCTTTTATATTTCAGAACTATATATATTGGAATAAACAAAACAAGTGCTAATCCCCATAAACCAGCAATAGTTCCATGAACAGTCTTTCTCCCTGGCTTAAAGTGAAGTGGTTTTGTAGTAGATTGGAATCTAAAGATGGAAATCGCTACGACTGTGTGCATACTTACAGTAAGACAAACGGATTGTATTGGGAGAATTGCCTTGCAAAACAGCGAAGACCTATCTTTCACATAAACAACTGTTAAGTAGCCAATTTCAAATGCTATGTCAGAAACGCTTAGGTTCCCCACAAAGTGCTCGAAAGGAGTAGTTCTCGTTTTAGCCTTCTTCCCAGTTAGAAGAAGCAAGACAAGTGCATTACCAGTGAACACCAATATTGAGATAAAAATGTTAAACCCTAGTTTGATCTTCCATTCTAGCTTGTGTGTAGACTCTGTAACACTGCTGCTTGTACCATTGCAAGTAATGTTATCAACCAAAGCCATGATCATTAATTCTGTTCCTGAGTTTAATTTCAGTCAAAAGCAATTTATATAATTTTACTATTTACCCAAAAGCTTTTACAGACCGGTTATTGTCAAATGTCGCCAAACGTGAAATGCTATACGGCCAATCCAAACAATAATAATAATGTAAATGATAAAATACAATAATAAAAATACTTTTACTGAAAATAAAGAAAACAAAAAGAAGTTAAAATTTGAAATTATACAAATATCAGTCAGAAATCTCCTTTCGAACCGAGCAATCGTAATTACAATTAATTTCAAACGCGGATGTTTATTATAAAAATAGTTATATATGTTAATGTTAATGGCCTGTGCCAGCTGACACAACAACTGATGATTCATCAAATTGTAAACCAATTTAGTTGAGATCTACATCTTGTCTTTTAACTTAACGACKTAACTTAGTGCAAGAGCAGCCAAAAAGAGGACATGACTTTTCACATTTACTTATAACTGATACTTCACCTTTAATTTATGCACTAGTCAATTGAAACCCCCGCTCTCCGACCCCCGACCCCCGGGGCTAGCGGGGCATTGACGCGTTTTTAACGTACTTTTAACAGCAAGATTGCCTCGGGGGTCGGGATTTTGATAAATTGTTTTCGAAGCGGGGCAAAGAGCGGGGATTTTAACGCGCGTTTGACGTCGACTAGACGTCGACCATCTCGAGAAACACACTGAAAGCATTGGTATTCAACCTGTTTTTATTATTATTATTATTATTATTATTGTAAGAATAAAGCTAATTTCGTAGCCATGAAACGCAATTACCAAGATTTGCTAATTACATGTAACAACACTTATTCACACAAACCTAATCGTCTAGACTTTGAACAAGGCCCGACAACACCCTACGTATTGTACTCTCACTGTTCATCAGAACGGTCTTCTGCATTTCTCCAACAATCCTTTCTACATTTTCATGATTTTCAAAAAGCTTTGAGACTTCACTAATTGTCATTTTAATGCCACCTCCCAATGCGCCAATTATCACTGGAACCACCTTAACGTCATATCCCGGCCGCCTTTCTCTCAACTCAAATGCCAGTTGGCGATACTTGGTGAGCTTTTCCATCCTTTTTGCCTCAATATTATGTTGTTGTGGGCACGCCATATCACAAATCCATATCTTCTTCTTCTCCTTCATCTCAAGTATCAAATCTGGTCTTCTTGCTGTTGCTGTTTTCCTAAGGGAAAATTAAAAATCCCAAACCAACTTCGCCTTGTGATTCTCTAAAACTGTTCCCCTTGTTCCCTAAACAGCTTCCCCTGTTGTTCTTTGGCTTTATACATCACTTCTGTCTTACACTCTACACCCTTCTGTAGCCTCGACTTCACCCTTCTCCATGTCGGTTTCCACTCCTCCTCAATCAGTTCCTCGCCAAGTCTTATCTTGTTATCAATGAATCTTATTCTCACTCCTACATCTTCCATCGATGTTAAGGCTTCTGCAATTATATAATTCTCTTCCTTAAGAACCTCCCTTCTCCATGCCGCTTTTATCCACCGTGTAACGTTTCTCTCACGTATTGAGGGTCTCGAGGGAGACAATGAATATGCGGCGTATTGCTTGGTTGAGAATCACCTTTACTTGAGCTAAGTAAAACTACAACTGATCGATTAGACTAGGGCTTAGGTTACATAGTTGGAATCGCGTGACTTACAATAATATAAGATGACGTCACACACCGATTCGTTGATTTTACCATATAACATACAACACGCAATCTCGTCTCCTTGTAAATGTCCCTCAAAGATTTCAATCCCCTTCCCCCTCTTTGTCTCTTAAGGTAAAGTCTTTCATCACTTGTCTGCCTTCCCAGCATA